TGACTGCTGTGCATTTTTAGTCAATATGTACGGTCACCTTTGAAAGTAACTCCCGATAATTTTTTATAATAAAACATAAAATTTTCATTGTCGTGGCTGCTGCGCATTTTTTTGGCCAATATGCACAGTACTTAGTTTATTTGAATGAAAAATTTAATCAAATTATATCAAATTCAGTCGGTCCGTTATTAGGAAATCTTTGCTTAGAAATTTTCTTTAAATAAATTATTAAATTGGTAGTCACTGTTTAGTATGTACATAGATCTCTGTTATCATTATGTACAGTACAGGACTTTGGTTAATTGGCATTTTCCTATATACTATAAGTCGAAAATTAACAAAAAATAAAAAGAAGTCATTACAACCGATTCCTTATTCGAATAATAATCGAATAATTTAGATTAGTAAATGTCTATTCGAATATTCGCTGAACGCTATCATTTGAAGCAGCAACTTATTGAATTTTAACATGACGAATAATAGAAATTATTTGAATAAAATTTCTTATATAAGATTGTTTATTCACATTAATTTGTGAAATAACTATTTAGAAAAGTTTTATTCGCATTATTTGTCAAATAATTACTTAGAAAGGTTTTATTCGAATATTCGCCGAATACGAATATTATTCTACAACCTGTCGACTTACACAACAGAGTTGTGTAGAGGGAAAAAAAAATAAATCGACACATTTATTATCGTTATTATATGTTAATATATTTAGGCAGATCAAATGACCAAATGAGTTATGAAAACGACACAACACTCGTACTTAATGTTGGTAAACGATTTTAACATGGATTGTTATTTCGTGTGATCCCAAAGATTTTACGTATTACATTGAATATTATGACATAAGTCAATACAAATAAGCGTAAAGATCTAATTTGCTGATTTAGGTAACGATTTGCTCACACCATCATCAAGGATCGCACTCATAGGAAAATAAAGGCAACAAGATAAAGAATCACCCCTGCCATAATATTTAAAAATGACAGTATCATACATTTTCACAATATAACCATGGCCATTAATTTTATGTTTGCATTTTGGATTTATGAAAGGGTATTTATAGGCACTATCCAACGGAAAAACGACATGAAACGTGGACGATAAAACTTTATCCATCCACCAAAATGTCACTGAATTACCATTTAACTGAGAATGACCTCTTATTTCGGCACCGGTTGGGATATTATCTAGAGATAAGCCATCGACTAATTTATGAATTAAAAAAAGGTGATTAGTCTTATGATGAAAAAAGCGATCTAATAATAATTGAGTTATAAACTTTACTTTGAACAGTTAAAAGTGTAATAACCAAGATAACCAAG